CCGTACGTCCACTCACATAAAGTCCCAGCTGCGTGGCTAACACAGCCACCCTAGCGTCCAGCTCCGGCTCCTTGAGCGCCTCCCGTAGAGCCTTTGCCCCGCGGGCGTGCCCCATGTTGCCCAGACACACGCTGGCCACGTCCAGACGCCGGCTCTTCACGCACATCTTGGCCATGTTCTCCCACACTGACTCACTGACAGACACACACGAGGAAGAGAATTATATTTAGGCTTGATGAGAGGCACAAGAGAATTATACACTTGTTGTTGAGAGACACAAGAGAATTATACACTTGTTGTTGAGAGACACAAGAGATAGGTACACAAGACTTATTGAGAGAAACAAGAGATATGTACACAGACTTGTTCAGAGATACAAGAGAATTATACACATACAATTAAGGGACACAAGAGAATTATGCACTTGTTGTTGAGGTACACAAGAGAATTATACACTTGTTGTTAAGAGACGATAGAATAATACACTTGTTGTTGAGAGACACAAAAGATATGTACACAGCCTTGTTGAGAGACACAAGAAATATATATTGACATATTAAGAAACACAATAAAATTATACACTTGCTGTTGAGAGACACTAGAGATATGTACACAGACTTTTGGAGCAAAGGGAAGGGAAAAGAAGAAAACACAAGGAGTTAGCGGCAATGTTCTCTTGGTCTCTCACAATCGACTTGCTGGGACATGGAGTAAACACAAGAGGAAGAAACAACATATTTTTTTCCCAGGCCAGAGACTGTTCAACGTACGCGACAGCAGCAGTCAGTAGCACCCTAGAAGTTAAAAAAGATGAAAGACTGACCCTGTTACCAACAGATCCAAATTGCAAAGTAAGGTACTGAGTATGAATAAAGGGTACGCCCTTGAAATTCTCTTGGTTGTAATGGTGGAGGGCAGTAGACCATCTAAATTGTGTTGTTGTCAGTCCAGATCTTAATTGCGTAAATGGAGTAGCAAAACATATAATTACCAAATTTGTGTTGACGGAGGAGTAATATACCAATTTATCTAAATTGTTTTGATGACGGAGTGAAATATCAAATTATCCAAATTGTGTCAATACTAAATCATATAAACTGTTGAAAAGGGAGTAAAATATTAAATCAATTGTGTTTCTCGTAAAACAATCCAAAACATTTCCCTAATACCCCCCCTCCAACCCTTCCACCTCTTGATCAGCTTGATGTCATAAAACATTCCGTTAACCCCCCCTCCCCCCCCAACTTACACACACACATGTACAAATACACACACATGCACAAACACATGCACAAACACAAACACACACACACACACACCTTTTGATGAGCTTGATGGCCTTGAACGCCTCGTCCATGTTGCCGACGGCCAGGAAGAAGCTGAAGCTCATCATGGCGTCTCTGGTCCCACGGTCACTGTTCTCCAGACCCACGAAGTCCCGCATGATCTTACGGGCCACCAGCTTGGGGTACGAGGTGGCACCCGTCTCGGGATTGACCACTCCAAACTCCTGCTGGTCATCTGTCGCGTTCTCCCCCTGAAAACATTGGTTATTGTGGTCAATGAAACGGTCATCTGTTGCATTCTCTCCTTGAAAACATTGGTCATTGCAATGGTGATCTGTCATGTTCTCTTCCTGAAAACATTGGTTATTATAATGGTCATTTGTCATGTTCTTTTCCTGAAAACATTGGTCATTGTGGTCATTGTAATGGGGATCAGTCATGTTCTCTCAATGAAAACATTAGTCATTGTAATTGTCATCTGTCATGTTTTCTTCCTGAAAATATAGGTCATTGTAATGGTCATCTGTCGCATTCTCTCCTTGAAAACATTTGTCATTGCGGTCATTGTAATGGTCATCTGTCGTGTTCTCCCCCTGAAAACATTGGTAATTGTGGTCATTGAAACGGTTATCTGTCATGTTCTCTCCTTGAAAACATTGGTCATTGTAATGGTCATCTGTTGCGTTCTCTCCTTGAAAACATTAAACATTGGTCATTGAAATGGTGATCTGTCAAGTTCTCTTCCTGAAAATATTGTTCATTGTAGGAGTCATCTGTTGCATTCTCTCCCTGAAAACATTAAACATTGGTCATTGTAATGGTGATCTGTCATGTTCTCTCCCAGCAAACATTGGATATTGTAAGGATCATCTATCATTTTCACCCCAGCAAATATTGGTATTTGTAAGGTAATATATCCCTTTCCTTCCCAGCAAACAGTAGTTATTGTAAGGGTTTTAATTTTCCTGAAATGTATTCAAGTCTCGGTTATTATTTTTTTTCTGTAATATAATGGTGATGATGATGATGATGATGCAGGTAATAATGATGATGACAATGATGATGAATAAAATTAAAATCTCACCTCCTTCCCCTCCCCCCACATGTACTGACCTTCTTGGTGAAGTAGTAGTAGGGCACCTCCACCCCCATGAGTGTGTTGAAGTTGTCGGGCAGCGGGAAGCTGTCCTGGATCAACAGTCCATTTTCCGGGGTGCAGAACAGGGAGACTACCATCACCTCAACCTGGGGAACATACATGGGGGAGATGGTGGGGGTGGGGGTGGTGGGTTGAGAGGGGAGTAATGTTAGCCGACAGCAGCAATTCCCTGTGCATAAAGCAGGGATGCCAAATGATTTTTGAAAAAAAAACCGGAAAATGAGCGGAGCATCACACCTCACCTAAAACGAACCTTGTAAAATCTCTAAAGGAGCAAACAAAAACATTTCTCTTACTATTCACCTTTCCTTTGCAAGTGTATGAAAAAAACGGAAAAAGCCAGAAAAACCGGAGATTAGGCATCCCTGATAAAGTACAGTCAAATCTCCTCAAATTCAGTAAACTTTGTTTTGGTGAGCGTATTGCGACACTTGCAACATAATAAGGTCATATAAGTGCCAAAGATTAGAGCTGTCACAAAAGAGTAACAAACACAAAAAAAGGGGAGAGATAAGGACAATAGATACTGGATAGGAAAGAAGGAGCAAACAACACCAGAGCACCTGCCAACAACTCATTCAGTAAACTTTGAAATAACCATTAATAATTCATTCTGAAAGCAAAGCAATATCTCATGATTATGTGCTGTTTTAACCAGCCAGTGAACTCAAACCATAAATAATATATTCACAAATACACAAACTACTAACATTTATGCGCAGCTTTAGCCAGCTAGTAAACTCCAACCATAAATGATCAATTCACAGAGACACAAACTACCTATGTTTAGACGTCTTAGCCAGCCATTAGACTCCAACAACCAACAGTTTACACTCAAAAGCACAAACAGCTGTCATGTTGTACATGTTTATGTACTGTTTAAGCACTGGTCAGCAAACTCACCGGTCTCTCGTCCACTATCTTGGTCAGCGAGTGTCTGTGATCCATGCTGTGGTCCACCGTGTCGGGCAGCACCCAGGCCTCACACACAAACAGTTTGGCCTCGCTCGGGTCCCAGTGCTGGGACACTGGGTACCGGCCGGCGATGTCGCGGGCCGCCTGGTTCTTGCCTCTGTATAACCACAGAAGGTCACAGTATGTAGGTCATAAATAGTCAGTTCTACTGTAATATATAACTCATTACCCCCTGCCATTTCAGTATGCCACGATCTGCTGTTCAGAAATAGATTATTTTACTGTAAAGTAAAACTTAATCCACTCACCACCCTCCTCCATTACAGTATGTCACGATATTTAGTCACACATGAACATTTTTACTGTAATATAATATATATATATATATATATATATATATTACAACCAAATCCACTCACCACCCTCTGCCTCACACAAACTGTTTTATTGTCAAATAGATTCTGCCAAAACAGAATGTCAATTATATAGTCACAAAAAAAGTTTTATAATGTAAAAAAAATAAAATCCCTCAATAACACCCGCCCCGCCCGCCCCTACGTTTATCTCTAAACCTAAATCCACAACCATCCGCTACGATCTTGACTCGTGCCCTCACCTCTCGGCATCGTTGGTGTCGTTCTCGTCCTGACCACCAGAGGGTGCTGCGTAGTCATCCTGCTCTCCGCGGCCCGTCTCAAAGTTGAAGTACTGCACAGTGTCCAGCTCCACGTCCCAGAAGTACATCTTTGGGTCTGGCTTCCCGTCCGCCTGGGGAACAATGCAGTGAGTGACAACAGTCATATAATATGTGGGTGGAGGGTGGGTACTCTGCTGTGGTTTGCTTCTTCTTTCCTATCAAACATCTGTCATCCATAATGTTAAGTTACATTACCTTTTTCGTATAGATTAAACATTTTTAAAAAAAATGTAGGTGTTTGAACGCCCCCATCCAAACAATTTAAATCATTTAGGAGGTGGGCTTCTGACCTTTCCTGTCAGGGCCAACCGGGGTTAAATTTGGTACGAAATCCCAGCAGAAAGATTAAGATACTCGATAAAAATTTCCTTCCCATTCAGGAATCAAACTTGGGTCTCCTGTATGCTACAGGAAAGTGCCTAACCTCTACACAACAGATGCCAGTGTCTGATAGGGTCAGTAATTCAGTTTGGGAGTGAGGCCTGAGCATTAAAAATGGAAGATAACAACGCGTACCTAACAGCAGAAATATGGTTCTACAGAAAACTGCTTCGGGTCAGATGAACAGATAGAAGAACAACTGAAAGTGTCCTGAAAGAACTTGATACAAAGCGCACTATGCTTTCTGAGATCAGCAAAAGGAGACTCAAGTATATCTCATGAGTTTATGAGCTCTTCAAAACTTCACAATCTGACAACGTTGTTCAGGAATGTCAGTCAGAACTTACCGAGGTCACCTGCACGCTGACACGATTTCCGGCACAGTTGACCTTGGCACCTACGGCAGCGCCAAACCCAGGAATGACGTCTGCTAGATTCTTGGGGCTACTGTGAGCTTTAGCCTCCCTGAGAACATTGCAAAACATGAAGCAATCTTAACAGAGAACTTTACAAAACAATTTTTTACATGACTTAGAATTTTCATTTCCTTAAAATGATTCTCATAATGTCCAGTGCTGAATGTGAAAACAATGTATTAGGGATTAAGTCCCAATACTAATAATAGACTACACATATCAAAAGTATAATTCCCAAATAGACAGTATAATCTATTATTACCCAAACAAACCCTTTGACATTCTGCAATATTCTCCAATTCTTATGAAACATCTGATGCAAAAGTGCCATTTTACATACTGCATTATCAAGACATTGAAAAATATATCAACTTGACATTTATACGATTAAAATACTTCCATTCACGTACATAATCTTCATCGCAAGCCTCCGTCTCACTCAAGCATACTTAAATCTTTAACCATATTATATTATTGGAACCACACTTTTCACAAGTAAAAAGCTCAAGGGGGGCACCAGTAAGAGCAAATTTTTTCCATAAATCCTTGGCTAGCTGTTCAGATATACAAAGCCAAAATTTTGGGCTTTCTTTTTTTAAATTTCTTAGTTTTAGTAGAGTTTTTACGGCACTCGCAACTGCATAAGGTCATATGAGCGCCAGAAGATTACAAGCGTTACAAGAGAGTAACAAACATAAAAAAGAAGAAAGGGAGATAAGGATGACAGATGTTTGATAGAAAAGAAGAAGCAAACCACACCAGAGCACCCGCCACCCACCTACTTTTCAGTTTCTAAATCTGCGGTATTGGTTTTCATTTCCTCAAGAAAAATATTGTCAAAATTCAAATTGTAAATGTTGCAAAAAAGCAAGAAAAAATACATAAAGCAGGCACAAGACTGGGCTTACGACATTTTAACAGTTTGATTAACGATTTGCACAGAAGAAGTTGTAGTGGTCACTTCAAAGCCTCCCCATACCACAACACACCCCAACACATCACAACACAACATTACACGAAACACCACACTACAACACACCCCACCCCACCACAAACACTACATCACAACACAACACAGCACCCACCTCCTTGAGAGGTCGTAGACTCGGAGCACGCCGACGTCCGTGGCCACCACCAGATAACTGCCGCACACGTCCAGGCTGACCGGGTGACCCTCGGGCTCGGCAAATGTCATCAGCTGTTTCACTGTGCCCTGAAATACCGCAAGTGGAACCATTGTCAGAGCTCATGTTGTATTTGAGAGTTTGTTCCATACAATGCAGCTTTTTTTTCACAAGGGTTTTAAGGAACTTGAAACACAGTTTTCTAGTAGAGGTTTTACGGCGCTCGCAACTACATAAAGTCATATGAGCGCCAGAAGATTAGAGGCGTTACAAGAAAGTAACAAACATAATAAAGAAGAAGGGGAGATAAGGATGATAGATGTTTGATAGGAAAGAAGGAGCAAACCACACCAGGGCACCCGCCAATCACCCACACAAAGACAGTGTAAGATCTACCCACAGAAGCTTGCACAAATAAGCACTTGGTGTTAGTTTAAGTAAGAGTTTTACAGCACTTGCAACACAGATAGGTCATACAAGGGCCAAAGATTAGAGCTGTTAATGGAGAGTAACATACAAAGAAAAGAAGGAGGGGGGATAAGGGTGAAAATCGCGCCAGAGCACCCGCCAGCTTGTTAAATACAGTAAAGAGACATCCATGACATCAACAAAGACATTTTAAGATCTCAGAGCAGAAACCTTCACCTATATATGATCTTGTTTGTTTGTTAGAGAAAAGAGAAGGACACAAACATAATAAACGTAATTTATTGCAGGGAAAAGTAAGACAAGACTGACAGAAACAAACAGAGTGAAATAAAAGGAAGAAGAATGTAACAGTGACACCCTCCAACGACCCACCTCACATGTACATAGATGATAATTCAAGCAATCAACTTATCTTACATTTGTCAAATTTTGTTTGAAAGTGCCACAGGAGACAGCAAGCCATTTAAATGTTATCCAGCTTGGCACAAATTTTTCAGATGTTTAATGAAAACGCTGACCAAGAGAAAGATACAGTTTTTCCTCGTAATCACTTGACATTCATAATCGCATTACCTCCATGACCCCATGAGCTCAGAGATCACATGACCTCAGTGATCACATGATCTCCCTAATCAGACCAGACCTCTCACCTGGAATGTCCGGACCTGCACTTTGTTCTGCTCGATGGTGTAGACATTCTGCTCGTAGAGTGCCACTACCAGGGCCTCCGATGCGAACGTTCCTGCACAGGGGAAGGATTGGAAGGGTTGTAGTGATTGTGAATGTTTCATGCCCCCATCTACACAGATTAGATCCTCAATTAGAAGGCTCAGTGCCCCGCTCACACAGACCTAGGCTTATTCCATATTTCATCAGCTGGTTTAACAGGGGGAACACATAATATCAGTCAGCTGATCAAACGTTCCACGTCCAAAATTTTGAATTTTTTAAATAATGCAGTTTCTTAATCTGTGTTCAAAATGTTACATGGGTTAACAGGGGAGACACCTAAGCTAATGGACAAGTGAGTACAACTGACCAGCTTTAAGACAATATGAGTAACCTTTAGTACTTAAACCTTCCCTTTTTTTTCTTTTTACATCACAAGTGACAACTCTTTAATTTACTGACTGAAAATATTTGGTTACTATCAGTGCTGGGACCATTGATTTTATGCAGGTATAATTCAAATTCATCTTTACAGCCCAGATGCCAACATACAGATGGTTAATCAAATAACTACTGTTTTCAATGTGCTACTTTTCTGACAGAAAACGTCTTGTTTAAATAAATGTCCAAGGGGGAAAACAAGCGAAATAAATTTTATCCAGCTTCACACAAATTTTTAAAGATTTTCAATCTAATCTGAAACCTCGATCTAGTGGAAGACATACATACCTGCCGCCTTGATCATGGCTTTATCTGGTGAATATTCATAGATTATGACTCGCTTGCCATTCCACACAGCCAACGTGTCCTGAGAAAAAAAAGGGAAGAGTTAGTTTTCCTCCGACTTCCATCATGCAATATTCGACAGTCAACAGTCACCTTCTACAACAGGGAAAAACAGAAACACATTAGAGCCTGCCTCCTAAATGATTATTTTTGATGTCAAAAGGGGCATGAAATATCTCGTCATTTACTGATATAACTGATTTAACAATGTCCCACTTATCATTAGAGATACACAGTATAGATAGACAGTCAAACCTGCTCTCACTGTCACCTGTGTAAGACAATCACCTGTACAAACAGCCACTTCCCATCCCCCCCCCCTGAGTCTTTTTTAAACATTATAATGATACTGTTTAAGATAACCATCTGTCTAGGAAGGCCATTTTTTTCTTTGGCAGTGGGTGGCCATCACAGACAACTTAAACTATTTTATTTCCCCACCATCCAAAATATAAGTATGTATTAATTCACAATAATGTGGGTAGAGAAAATCTTCTTGGTGTGGAATGAGACAAATCAACATCTGTCGATTGTTTCTATCTTTGACTTCAGATAGGTTCTCAAGAGCAGCAACACAAGTCAAAAAGTTTGAAGTATAAAAAGATTAACCTCTGACTGACCTTTGTGGTACAAATGCCCTTGACCTGTATCTCTGTCTTCAGGTCATGATGGTTTCCGGCGGCGAACATTTCGATGTTTAGAGCGCCTGGCCCGTACTGGACAACAGCTGTCTGTGAGCAGATAAAATAAGGGGATGGGGGATATGTAATATGGTTTGAGTTAGAGTAAAGAGAAGAACAATGGTATGGTTACAGAGACTTGACACTGGGGGAAAAAACAAAGACACACAAGACAGACACAACGAGGGAGAGAAACAAAGCACAAAATTGACACAAAATAATAAAAATACCCTTTACAACTCCTGCATTTGTGTCTTTGCAAATCTCCACACCCTCCCCCACCCCCTTCCCAGAAATACTTTTCATAATTGATGAACCTTGGTTGGTGATATTTTTTACTTAACACAATACCCTGCTAGGCACAAAATACATCTAACATTCGCATACAACAGTAACATTTTCCACTGGGAGAATAAACTATTACCTCTCTCTCATCTCTCTCAAACTATATCTACCTAACATTCACATACACAAGTAATTACATATATAATAATTAATAATAATAATAATAATAATAATAATAATAATAGATAGCATTTGTATAGCGCAAATCCCCGCTCAACAGCAAGCTCTATGTGCTTTACAATCTACACTATTACCCCGGCAGACGTTAGAGCATTCTGAAACAATCTAAAATTCCTGGGAAGCATATAGTGCAAGTAGCCATTTATAGGTGCTTAAACACTAACATACTGACAAGATTTTTCACTGTCTATGGACGGGTACCCATTCTCATCAGGGTGAAGTGGGGAAAATTAGTGTAAAATGCCTTTCCCAAGGACACAATGTCGGGCCCGCGGCTCGAACCCCCGAACCCGTAACCTCACGATTACGAGTCCAGTAGCTTAACCCCTATCGAACACTCACATACACCATTAACACCAGAACACTCACTGACCACCCACTAACCACACACGTTCGTCACTCACCTGGTCCCTGTAGCCGTAGCTCATGACCTGCTCACACAGGATGTACACGTTGGCGATGGTGTTGACGGCCATCAGACCCCGGCTGTAGCTCCACTGAGGGGACACATGACACACATGACACATGTTGAACATAAGACATACTGGTCAAATGTTGAAATTAATCATAATCGTCAAATGTTGCACTTAATCATAATGGTCAAATGTTGAACATACGATACCCATCTTACAAGACAAACACTGAATACAGGACACACTTGTCATATGACACATGTTGAACATATGACACGCACCATACATAACATGTGTTGAACATAGAATTAAAACCACATATTACACGTGTTGAATACAGGACACTTGTGCTACTATGACACACGCTGAACATATGAAACATGTATTACATTACACATGTTGAACATAGGACACACACCACATATAGCACAGGTTATAAATGACTGCATGTTCGTTTCTTTAATAGAACAAGACATTATAGCAATATAATATCAATAGTTTTACCTCAATCTGCCTGATGAGACATGACATATATCAATAAATTTACCTATAGCTGCCTGATGAGACATAACATATTTTCACTGTGCAAGAAAGTGCAAGAAAAATGGCATAACTCAGAATTGAGCCAAAATTGTAACTAGCCTTTTATTTTGAAGAATCAAAACGTAAAAGTGCTGGCATTACAAAAGAAATTTGTGTGTTTTACAATTTATAAGATGATAAAGTCTACGTAAACAGGCTTTTTTATTTATCTTAAAAGCAGCACAAATGAGATGTGCCATTTCGCTAACATAGTGATGATATATCGAATGCTTTACCTCAATCTGTCTAATGGGCCCCTCCACTGTCGCGGGTGCCTGAAGCTTCCACTTCTCGTCCCCATCCACCCTCCGACCACCCCCAGGTGGGCTGTACTTCCACAGTGCCACATTGCCCATGTTGGTCCCAGCGGCCAGGACCCCATACTGCGGGTGATACGCCAGGCACATGATCAGCTCGTTCTGATCGTAGCCCGAGTGACCTTCCAAGGTCAGGATGTAGTTGTCGTCTTGTTCCAAGTCCCACATCCTGAAAATGTTTACAGTTCAGTTTGTGAAAAAATTTGACGGCACTTGCAACACGATTAGGTCATATGAGTGCCGAATGTTAGAGATGTTACTAGAGAGTGACTTACAAAGAAAAAAAGAGGAGAGATGTGGATGATAGATGTTTGATAGGAAAGAAGGAGAAAACCACACCAGAGCACCATCCAACCATCGTCTGAGATTTACAGACTGCTTTGAGGAGGGGGTGGGGGTGGGGGTGGGGAGAATATGAGAAACACAACAATATCAGAAGTAGGTCAAACTCTTCTTTGTGAAACAGTGAATTAGCCCAGGTCGATCATAATCAAGCAAAAAGTTCCAGAACAAAAGTGGGAGGGATTGGGAGAGTTTAAAGTTAAGTAGGGAAGAACATTGACTCGATAACCATTGTTAAGTGGGGGTAGGGGTGGGGGAGCAAGGTAGAAAAGGAAAGAGGTAAAACCTACTAATGGCGACCTCCAACCACCCACAAGTGACTATATTGTCACCATATCAGACCCAAGGACACTCAGAAACATTCTCGGTTCCCGGGAGCAAACAATGTAAGCAGATGATTAAGCACCAACAAACTGACAAGATTTTTCACTGTCTGTAATCAGGTACCCATTCCCACCTGAGAGAAATGAAGAAAATACACGTAAAGTGTTTTTACCTAGGACATAACATCAGGCTCCTGTCTGGGTTTGAATCCACAACCTTTCAGCTGGGAGTCCAACACCCTAACCACAGGACCACTGATGCCACAAGACACAGACCCAGACACATACAGACACAGACACCCCAACTCACTTGACATCCATCTCCCCTGCTGCAATGGCCAACAACACTACAAGACACAGACACAAACACAGACAAAGACACAGACACCCCACTCACCTGACTCCCATCTCCCCCGTTGCGGTGGCCAGAATGCCCTTCCCGGCCCAGATAAACGTCGGGTTGTCAGACCGGCCGCTCAGCTTCACCTGGACAAGACAAAACAAAATGTAACATGAATATGCAAGGGATGGCTAGCTTGTTTCTTCTTTTCATTTTGTTTTTCTCCACGTGAGAATCTGATTCCTGTACCACATATACATCATTTAAGAGGAGTTTTTCAGGGGAGAGAAAAAAACGGTTTCATTTTTTTCACAATTGTACTTTAACTATTTTTTCTTGCTCTTTTCAAAACTTATGAATGGAATTCCATCAAAATATCTCTTGAGTATATGCAGCCAATACCACAGATTAAGAAATTAAAATAAAGATATATTTTTTAAAATTTGGGCCTAGTACATCTTAACAGCTGGCCAATGATAGGAATCTAGATGGAATTACAAAATTGACGTTGAACATTTCTCCACTCGTGTTTCAATGAGGAACAAAGCTAGTGGTGGTGAAGTAACCTTGAACATGGCATTGAACAGAAGTGCGAGAGCCTAGCTGCTGCTGGATCGATAAAACAACAACAACAATAGCAACAACAACAACTACAACAACAACAGCAACAACAACAACAACAGCAATAACAACAACAGCAGCAACAACAACAACCACAGCAACAACAGCAACAACAACTACACCAACAACAACAGCAACAACAACAGCAACAACAACAGCAATAACAATAACAGCAACAACAACATTTACAGCAGCAACAACAACAACAATAGCAACAACAGCAACAACAACTACAACAACAACAACGAGAAGCAACCTTGAGAATCTCCTTCGTGTCCATCTCCCCAAAGACAGCGTGCTGGGTCAGCATCAAGGTCTCTGTGATGGTCACCAGAACGTTCTTCTCCTCGTAGAACAGGAGCTTCTTGATGGCCACGTCCAGGGAGAAACACTGGACACATCGGCCCTGGTCACCCATGTAGTAGACGCCGCCTGTGACAAATGGGGGAAAACATGTAGTAATAGCAAGAAGATCTCTTCATCCGCCACTCTTTTCATTTTCACTTTTCAAACAAAATGGATAAAAAAGACTTATTAGTTTACTGAATAAAAAGAAGTGCATCACACAATAATGGTAGTTTAATGCAGAGAAAAGTAAGCCACACAGACGAAAACTATAGAATGTAAAAAAATAAGCTGTATCTACCATTGGGGAGGGGAAAGGGGGTGGGGGGGGGGGGGGGCAGGGCTCAAAGGCTTAAGAGAGGAAAAAGTCTTCATGAATTCTTTTACCATAATTCTACTTTACATACCACTGGCTATCCGGAGGATAAAGTCTTCAAGAATTCTTCTAGCACATTCAGTAAAACTTACCACTGGCTCCCCCGATGAAAAAGGCCAGCGATTCCTGAGGGCCAAAAGGAGCCCCAGAAGATTTGTTCTTGCCTCCCTTTTTCCAGTTGAACATTTCCAGCGCCGACTCGTCCCCACTCACCGCGGCTCTGGCTAGACTGTTGATGTCCCTGAAATGATTAAGTTTAGTTATAGTAGGAGTCACACCAAAGCACCTGCCGACCACACACATTATTGTTGTAAAAGGAAAGTATCTATAGCTCATTTTTTCTTCCCGTGTGAAGAGCCATTTTCAATATTCACGTTTTTGCATGTGATATTACGTCAAATAAAGGGGAAGACAACATTGCTTTTTTGTTTCTCTTTAACCTGGTATGTAAGGGGCAACTAAAACAATGTTTTACCTTATCGCAGAAGTCTTAAAGCCTGGATAACCATATTCTTAAAGCTTTGCGAAAAATAATCCCCCCCCAAAATGTGCAGACTTTAAAAAAACCTTACTTGGTCTTTCAACGAATCAATGTAAAAGGAGAAAAGCACGAGTTTTATCTTTTGTTTCAACAAAAATCCGTGCAATAATGTGGCCCTATAAACATGTGGAGGAACATGTGATAGATGTGTAACATGCTGAAGAACACAGTTAGGTGCGACACAATTTAAGACCATATGCTTAAAGAAGTGTCAGTTTCCTCACATGACAGGGTCCGGGGGTGGTGCGGGTTTCAGGATGATCTGGCTGATGGGCTCCTGTAGGTGGTGTTGGAACGGGTCTTGGCCCAAACGACCTTTGCTGTCTGACTTCCAGCCAATCAGAACACCCGCCTGAAGACAAGAAAAAAAATACCCAACCCTCATCAATAATCAATATAACCCCACAATCACTGCAAGATGTGGCTGTGACAGATGCAGTAAACATGTCCCGTTAAAGATGAAGCATTGAAACATTGCAGGATGGCTGAAAAAAAATTAATTCTTCAAGATACAGAGCAAACCATAAAGTGATTTCTATATCTATCTCGTCTTTAATTCCAACACAAAAGTCCCAGTTTGCGGGTTTTTGATCTCCTGAATATCTACAGGCTTTTAACCTGCACATCATCACTGCTACAAAACCTGAACCTCCACATCATCACTGCTACAACACCTGAACATCATCACTGCTACAAAACCTGAACATGATCACTGCTACAAAACCTGAACATGATCACTGCTACAAAACCTGAACATCATCACTGCTACAAAACCTGAACATCATCACTGTTACAAAACTTGCACATTCACATCATCACTGCTACAAAACCTGCATCTTCACAATGCACTCCCACAAAACCTCACATCATCACTGTAACAAAACCTTTCAATCATTGCTGCTACCAAACCGGCACATCATCGCTGCTACATAACTTTTCAATCAAAACTTTTCAATCATCCCTGTTACAAAACCTGAACATGATCACTGCTACAAGACAAATCAGTGACTAGAACTTTCAGACACCTGAGACAGACCTGGATCCTACCCTCATAATAAGACAGGTGAGACAGAAAGTGAATCCTGTCGTAGCTCTCTGAGGAAGTGACTCACCGTGTCGGCAGTAACGAGCCGAGAGCCGTGAGAGCTCCATCTCATGACTGTGATCTCTGAGTGATGTAGATGAGGGGCCTCGATCAGTTCTTTGTCTTGCTCATTCCACAAGGTGATCTCCCCTGTCTCCCAGCCCACCGCCAGAATTTTTCGCGTTGGGTGCCAGGAATAGGCCGTGGGGTGCCCTTGATGGCCGATTGGTTTGTGGGGAATTTTCTCACCCTTAAGTAAAGAAAAATGAAATTTTGCAACATGAGAAGCAATACCAAATATGTCAGTTTTACATGTAGCTGACACTTGAGGTCATCTTCTGAATCCTTTCCATTTTTTTAAATAAAAAAAGGAATGGATTTCATTCAAAAGTAGTACACAGAAATTAACTTTATAAAATATACGTATAAACTTTTTTAAAGCATTCAATAAAAGAATCTCTATCCAGCAACAAAATGACTCTGAAAGATTATCAGAAAGGCCTTTAAGTTTCAGTAAAAATAAATACCAGTCTACAACAAGAGAATCTAAAGTCAGATAAAGTCAGCTTGGATATTTCTGCAGGACAAAATGTGGACATGAATCTGCAAATCTACAAAGTGATAATTCAATGAATGCAAAACAATAATGGAAAAGGATGAGAGATGGTGGGGGTGGGGGTTGGGGGGGGGGGGGGTTGGGGGTGGTGCAGCTAAAACCAATAAATAGCAAATAACAACAGTTAAATGAGGACATTATTATTAAGTTGTGCTTTATTTTAATCATTACTTGAAATCAAGGCGACAGACTGTTCGAGAGCAGTTGGCAGGTGCTCTGGTGTGGTTTGCTCCTTCTTTCCTATCTAACATCCGTCGTCTTTCTGTCCCCTCCGTTCTTTCCAGTGTATGCTACTCTCTAGTACTTTCCCTTTTTTTTACCCTTCCCCCTTCCAAAAAAAGGATAGTAGTAGTGTATGCTACTCTCTAGTAACACCTCTAATCCTCTGAATTTATGAATATATATGACCTTGACCTAAAGTGTTGCAACTGCTGTGAAAGTTTTACTAAAAAACTAAAAGTACATTGTATGGTTATGTGTTATATGATATTAGTTCATGTTCTCTGTACGTTATGTTGTGTACCCCATATTATTTGATGTTATGTCGTACCTGTATCATTCATTGTCCCTTTTATCCGTGTTCACAGATGAAATCATCATCTACCTGTTATAATAAATTAACTACACAGAGAAGTCTTTCTTCAAACATGGATGTGCAGACAAGTGGATATACTACTCACCTCCTCGTTAAAGATCATGACACTCCCACCCCTGTCCTCACTGTATGCCAACACAGCCACCAGCGGCGAGGACTTGAGCCAGCCGATGTCGGTGTTGATGCCCGCTCCATCCGTCTCAAGACGGTGGTCGAAGTGCACTGCCATCTTGTTTTTTTAACGACTTCTCAATTTAAAGCTTAGCAAAAACTTGCTAAAATTCTGTAATTTGACACTGGAAAGGATGCGATTTGCACAGACGTCATTCAAGCATCTGAAAAACAATTACAAGTTGGAATTCAAATTACAGAAATAAACCCCTTTTTTTTTGGTAACACAGGATAAATTTCTACCTTTCAACAAACAAGTAAGTAAGTTTTATGCACCGTATTATAATTCCATGCTACTGATACTACCAATCTTCCGTAAGTGCAACTACTGCGTCACCTGTGCTTTCCTGACTGCACAGAAGTACAAAGCATTTGCCCCCCTTATAAACCTTAGGGTTTAGATCATATATATGTTATTTCTCACCAGCAGTGTTTACAAATTTCTTCAAGAAATAAAAGGGAACAAGATTAATATGCACCAGAAAATACAGCCATCTTCAATGAATACTATTAATACTTTAGACACAATAGAAGTAAAAGTAACATTTAAGATGGATTTCTTTGTCCTCGTTAAAAGAAAGTTTAGTTTATCAGTGCCAGAGGGGCATCAAATTCATACAATCCTCTTCATATAGATCTATACATCTTACTGAAACAGGGTGCTTACGGTAGACTGGAATACTGCAGTAAAACATGTTCCTTCCACTACTAGGAGCTTCTAAATACTTTTAAAAACACTGAAAAAAGTCTGTCTCTGGGGATCATTTTATAATTCAGATCATCTGTCTAAGATGTAAGCTTATCCTGGATCTACATTGTAACAGTTAAATTACCAGACAGTTAAATGAGTCTTACAGTCTAAAAAGTTCTCACAATATTTCATCAACAACTGCCAAGGAAAGCCAAAGCAAATTCAAAACCTGCTACTCTCACATTACATCAAGTACTAATGAACAAGAATATATCTTCATTACTCTTGTCAAGAATGTAAATTGACTTCAGAAGGAAAGTTATCCATTAATAAACATGTCTTTTTATTTTGACGAAGATTGCTAATTTGAGTTGGAGTTCGGGATTTGGTTGGTGGGGCCATGGAAAGAATTTCATCTTATATGCCACTACACAGCCAGTCTGAGTCACTATAAGGAGTCTTACAATATGCATCTCCAGTTTTTATGCTACTGAAATACCAGTAATTGACATGGTATTCCCAGAAAGTATCACAGATGAACATTTGTTACCTTGGTAACTATGATGCTTCTAAATGAAAACTTTCAGCATTCCATTTCGTCCATGTTGAAACTATGCGTGACCCCGGAAGAATTCTGTATCATGGGTAAATAAAAGTATTCTAAAAACATACCTTGGTGAAGGAATCCCATGAACCTTACGAAACAAACTATTTCGTTTCATTGCTGAACGTCGGCGTAATTATTGTTCGGGTTTTTCTTCTTCTAAATTTTTGCCCATTTGCTTCTGATCTTTTTAGATCTACCTATTTTGTTTGTCTTTTCACTACAAAATTGTACAGATGAAATTGGCCCAAACAAAATGAAAACAAAGTCAACAATTTAACCTGCAACCTCAATCACAGTTAGATCTAGCCTAGGCTATATAAAATGGTGATCATAGAGAAAGGACTTATTTCACTTTTCCGATCCAGTTACTTTTACTTTTCCGTCTCCGATCCAGGCCATCATATTATAGAAAGGACTTTCACTTTT